CTACATCTGTGATGGTCTAGTGTTTTTACTGTCCTTTGTCGACAGATTTTAATGTCTATATTTATGTATTATTAATGTCCAACTTGATTTAGTCACGATATGGCTGAAATATTGCCGATGTGACTATAAATCTTAACTCACTCACTCACTCATGACGTCGCCTCGACACCCTCGCCCTACCATCAGCAAATCGAAGATTAAATCGGGAATTATCACTGAAGACGACTTGATTCCAATTCCTCTGAGTTGATCGTGAGTGTCGCTGTGCCCACAATTGACGTTGACGTCTGTGTAATTGAGTCAGAATCGGCCCGCAGTATGGCCGTCGTGCTTGAAGGTGAGCAGTTCTCAGACGGTTTCGAACAGTTTGCGCACTCAGTCTACCCCTAAACAGTTCATTTCTGGTTGATGTAGCCGTCAAAAATCGGTTACGGAGGTGACGTAAGACAATCTGACGATCCTCTGCATGTGACGTCACACGTGGTCGACCTGGCCGAGGGCGACCAACGGTGGTACCCGTTTGCTGAAGACGCGTCTGTAAAGCATAAACAGTCCGTCGACTACAACCCATCGTCCTTGCGACTTCAGCTACGGACGTTCCCGTCTGCAACATGCCGAGGGCACGTTCACGTTGCACATTTGAAAGGCGTGGCATCACAAATGGCCGTAAAGACTTTTTTTTTTCTTGTGTATTTCTTTTTTTGTTAATGACTGCTAACATTTTGATCGATTCACCTGCACAAAAACGGTTGTTATCTAAAGACAATACGTGGCCATTACTGTTTAAATACACAATAAGGGCGCCGGCCCACAATGATAACTGGACAAAATGTTAAAATTATAAGATTGTGAAGTTTTTAATTTGGTTCAGTATACATAAGGATCCTGAATTGTTCTTGAATACTACACCGATCAAAGTAGTTATAGAGTCAAAGTTTTTAGGTATTACATTTGATAGCAAACTATCGATTATTCCTCATATTAAAAATCTGAAGACCAAATGTCTAAAGGCACTTGATATTCTTAAAGTTGTGTCAAATGCTCATTGGGGTGGGGATAAAGAAACACTTCTGCATCTCTACAGGGCGTTAGTTCGATCTAAGCTGGACTATGGATGTTTTATTTATGGGAGTGAGTGAGTTAAATATTACATCGCATCGGCAATATTTCAGCCATATTCTTTTTATGGTTCAGCCCGTCAAACATATTTACGGAAACTAGATAGTATTCACTATCAGGGTTGTGCTTAGGTGCCTTCAGAACCTCTCCTATCGAAAGTCTGTATGTTGAAGCCAAAGAACCGTGTCTCAAATTAAGACGGATTAAACTTGCTCTTCAATATATCACTAAACTCAAATCGAATTCTTCTAATGCAGCCTTTGACAATGTTTTTAAACCTTTGTATGTGGGTTTGTATGCTGTAAAGTGTAACGCAATACCGCCATTAGGCATTCGCATGGAACCTCTTACGTCCATTGCCAGGTTGCAAATGTCAGATATACCTCCATGGCAATTTATACAGCCTGTGGTCAATCTTGAACTAACAAGGCTGAAAAAGGCCAATACAAATGCATTACAATATCAACAAGCTTTTCTAGAAGTTAGAGATGAATACCCCTCTTACACATGCATTTACACAGATGGCTCAAAAGAAGGGGAGAAAGTATCTGCTGCTGCTGCAGTAACAACTGATGGTACGTTTTCGATTAGACTGACTAATGACAGTTCCATTTTTACTGCAGAGGCAAAGGCTATTTTGTTACCTTTGCAGTATATTGAGCAATTGCCGAACAGACACTTTATTATTTTTTCTGATAGTTTGTCCTGCTTGCAGGCGATAAATGGTCGTAAATCTGATCATCCTTAATTTGCTGAAATTTTAGAACGCAACCTGAATTTATCAGTGGCCGATAATGATATTGTCTTTTGTTGGCTTCAAAGCCATGTTGGAATAAAAGGTAACAACAAAGCTGATGCAGCAGCAAAAGCTGCTAATGAACAAAGAGTAACACAGACTAAATACCCTTATAGTGATTGTAAACTAGTTATTAGGCAATATGTTAATAAATGTTGGCAGTCAAATTGGAATACTCAAACCACTAACAAGCTGCACAATATTCAATATTCATAACAATATCAGTGTTGGTTGTCGTAGAGATGACGTTGTTTCAAGCCGATGCCGTATAGAACATTCACATTTTACTCATGCTTTCCTTTTAAAGGGAGAAGATGCTCCCATGTGTATTCCTTGTCAATGTCAAGTTACCATGAAACACAAACTTATTGACTGTGTGGATACTGATTTAATACGTGCGACATATTTTAATGTTTCTACTTTGAAACAACTTTTTACCCAAGTTCATAGCCATACAGTTACAGCATTTTTGAAAGAAATCCATCTAAGATATAGGTTTTAACCCAAATAGTCAGTTTTTTTTCCATTTGTCTGTCATTTATGACTGATATTTTATGTGATCTTGGATATAATACTTTTATGGTTGTTCTTTATTAGTACATGTTTGAACTTTTAACTGGTTCTCGCCGTGAATAGCTGGTTAATTGCTGATGCGGCGTAAAACAATATTCATTCATTCATTCATTCATTCATTAGGTACCATCAGTATCACGTTACAATCTAGTGGGGGGCACGGGTGGCCCAGTCGTCTAAGGCGCAGCGATTCGCTGTGCAGAGTTGCGTCCCCTTGGCACACCAGAAACCTATGATTGTGGGTTCGAATCCCGGTTCGCCCCGATTATGTTTCTAGGTTTGTCAGCACCATACCCGTGCTAAACGTCTGAGACCTGCATCACTTCGGGCTTTCCACCCACATTAAGCTGGCACGCCGCGATATAACTGGAATATTGTTAAAAGCGGCGTTAAACATAACTCACTCACTCACTCACTCACTACAATCTAGTGTACATCAGTGTCATGTTACTATCTGGTAAACGTCAGTATCACGTTGCAATCTAGTCTACATCAGTATTATGTTACAATCTAGTATACATGGACCCGTGAAGATTCCGGGGTAGAATAGGTCTTCAGCAACCAATGCTTGTAAAGGGTGACTATGCTTGTCGTAAAAGGGGACTAACGGGATCGGCTGGTCAGGCTCGCTGACTTGGTTGATGCATGTCATCGATCCCAATTGCATGGATCGATACTCATGATATTAATCACTGGATTGCCTGGTCCAGACTCGATTATTTACAGACCGCCGTCATATAGCTGGAATATTGCTGAGTGCGGCGTTAAACAACAAACCAACCAACCAAATCTAGTATACATGAGTATTATGATACTATCTTCTGTAATATAAGTCAGTATCATGTTAGAATCTTGTCTACATTGGTACCATCTTACCACCTAATGCACAACAGGGTGCATCGGTATAACGTTACTATCTTGTGTACACCTCGCGAGATCACAATCGCGTTACTATGTCGTACGAAAAAGGTGAGATCAGTGTTGCGTTACTGTCTTCAATACAGCAGTGATGTTTACTATCCAGTAAACAAGCGAGATCAGAATCACTATACTAGGTAGTATACATCCGTATTATGATACTATTAATTAAACACCATGTGGAAACAGTATCACGTTACTATCCAGTATACACAAAGTGAGATACTATCTGGTAAAAATCAGTATTATGTTGCTGTCCAAAATACACCCGTTGAGATGAATACTATGCTATTTTCCAATAAACAACGGGTAAAGTCAATATTATGTTACTATCTTGCATGTACCGGTATTCTATTATTATCCTATATGCATCAGGTGAAATCTGTATTTTGTATGTGACTATTTAGTACACACCAGGCAAGATCAATATTATGTTAGTATCCAACATACATCAAGTCGTTTCTAACGTGATCGTAAGTTCCAAAAATGTCTCTCGGTAAGTCAGCATCTTTTTTATGAGTGTGAGATATCAGCACTTCCCTGGTATACTTCAATGAAAAGGGACAAATATGCACAAAATGCTTTAAACCCGATGGTACTTTATTCATTGGTCACTAGAAGCCTGCTGTTAGCATGCAAAGTGAATGTGCTAGCAAGTACATAGGAGGATATAAACCATATTTTGTTAATAGTAATTGACCGTATTGTAAGTATCCAATGAAAGACGATGTTTACAATATTGGGCCCTGTGGTAAGTATCTCAGTCAAACATAATCACCCCTGCGTGTGTCAACGACTTACCCTTCCTATAATCGCATTTTGCCCCGCAAAGGGCCCCCAACAGTCTTTGGCGATGAATAAGACATGTCGAGTATAGTTAATGTTTGCTTATACATGATATTTCGCAATGTTCTCCACATAAGCTTCGAGCAAATGCTGAATAATCATCTTCTTGGTATGTTTATTAAGATATGTTTAATACGAAGTAAATCTTCACAGTACTATGCATGTATGTATTATTTAATGCCCAACAATGAACTATTTGAATTTCTACGGTAAGAGAGCGAAATTCATTTGAGGAAATCAATGATTGTTCAAATAACCCTTCAACATATCCAACGATACTTCATACCGTGTGAAATTACACGGGCGTGGTGACGTTGACACTAATGTGAATACATGTATGGAGGAACACTGGGATGGTAATAGTAAATCTGACCTATACACACGTGAGGTGAGGTGAATTTGGGTTTAGCGTCGCGTTTAAGATTAGTGCACTTATATAGCGACGGGCATGCACGAGTGCGTGTGTATGGGGCTGCATGTTCTAGTCCGGTTTAATTTTACAGTGCTAGCCCACAGAAATACCATGTCGCAGTTTAACATGAATACCCCACTCAGACCCACACTGACTCCGAGCTGACCAATCCTTGTTTTAGCACCTTAATGCCGAGCGACAGGCAGAGTAAATGCAAGTACCATATTTAAACTCCTTTGGAATGACGCGGTCGAAGGTTCAACCCCAGAAGACCGGGAAGACGCCATTCATTCATTCATTCATCCATATAGAAATTAAAGACAATGGATTTCTTACCTTTGATTGCTGACTGCCTACAAATGTGTTGAAAACTGGTAAGGTATGTATTACAGTTCCTGAAGCTGTTTCCACAGGCACGTTGTGCGTTAGGTTTCGCAGTTGTGGGATGCTGTCTTGAGATCTCGGCAATGATTAGTCGTGGCTTTTCGCATCACCTGAGCCAAGACACAAGGCACACCACAGCCCTTGCTTTTGTAAGTATGATTTACTTACATTTAAATACTAAATGAACTATCGTCTGTTTCCATCCATCATGAATGTGATGTAGGAGAGACCTACTCGTGGACGAATGAGTATTAAACGTTGCTTTCCCCGGAAGCAAAATCGTTCTGGCTATTTAGAAGCCCTTTCTCCGTGACTCAAAGGCACGTACGTAGCCCGTTTTGATTAGCGAACATCGAATCACATCATCGTGTATGAGAAGAGCCACCACGCAGCTGCCATGTCGATCCAATAGGAAATGTTTGATCGGCAACGCATACTGTTCCTCATACAAGGAGGAGTGCTATCTCTGCAGTATCGTTTAGCCCAAAAGCTTTATATCACAGCCAATTTCATAACTTTTTGACAAAAGACTACAGAATGATGCTATTTGCATGGGATTTTGAATTAATGGTTTTATGTGGTTCCACCATTTTCACGTCGCCTTTATGCATGGTGTCAATATCTCACTGAGGGATATCTCACTGAGGGATCAAATAGATTTATAGATCAAACAGCCTGTGCATCAGCTTTATCACAACCACAGTGGACAATAGTAATTGGATGATTGGAGGTAAACATTTCAGGATGCATGTCTTGCTATCACACTATGACACAACTCCTTTGGTAACTGCTGTGTACCGGAGAATCATGACGAGGTCATTATCGCACCATTCATATCATCCATTTGACGGAATCAGAAACTGATCAGCACTAAGTGTGTGCTCGTATTATGTGCATGTTTATTCATTATTCATTCACCCGTGGCTTCATACTCCACGCACAAAAATATATATATATATATATATATATATATATATATATATATATATATATATATATATATATATATATACTGAACAGCATTGAAAACGCACCCGCACTAAATCTTGAAATATTACAAAAACAACTTGAGCAATGACCGATTTTGATTAGAGTGAGTGAGTGAGTTAAAGCTTTACGTCACATCGGCAATATTTCAGCCATATCGTGACGAGAAATTTCATTTATTAATACATATGTTTAAACTAAATTAAAACCTGTCATCGATGGACAGTAAAATTACTAGAATATCACAGATTAATATTTAAAACTAGCATACAACTATAAAAGATATCACTATATATAACGGTACAATATAAAAAAGGGCTATAGATCGCCAGCAGCTGAAGGTAGATCACCATGCTAGGGTCCATGGGGACTTACAGTACTTTTGCTACCTGCATGGGTGAGTGAGTGAGTTAAGATTTAACGTCACATCGGCAGTAGTTCAGCCATATCGTGACGAGAAGTACATTAATAATACACATATTTATATGAAATAAAAACCTGTCATCGAAGGACAGTAAAATAACTAGATTTATCACAGATTATATCTAAAACTAGTAGTTAGCCATAAAAATATAACATCATACGAAACAATACAAGATAAAAATGAGCTATAGATCGCCAGCCACTGAAGAGAGATCACCATGCTAGGGTCCATGGGGACTTACAGTACTTTTGCTACCTGCATGGACCCCAGCCGGATTTACATCATCCCTTACGCTGTTGGCAATTAATGACAAATCTAGCCAGAATAAATAAACATATATACTACGGCTAAAAACGAGCAGAAATAAACATACTTTGAAAGACGTGGTCTCACATACCCCCTCAGGGGGACAATAATTTTACACTACTTTAACCCCCTTCGAGGATATAGCCACTAACAATCTCAGTTATTGAAAAATTCAACCAATGATAAAAGTTATTTATTCATTTACAAAATATAGCAATCAAAATTTATGTAGTAATTCGATTTCCTTTAAAAAAACAATAATTAAATGACTACTTACCTGATAAAAAAGATCCTTGATACATGATACTTTGAAATATTTATCCCATTGTGATGGAAAAATCAATGCAGTCAAGCAGGACATGCTTGACCGTGATTCTTTCATCACAAGGATCCTCACCTTTAAGTAAATATTCATGAGTATAACGTGAGTGACCAATACGACATCGTCTTAATACAGGGGGCGGTCGGGTAGCCTAGTGGTTAAAGCGTTCGCTCGTCACGCCGAAGACCCGGGTTCGATCCCCGACATGGGTACAATGTGTGAAGCCCATTTTCCGGTGTCCCCCTCCATGATATTGCTGGAATATTGCTAAAAGCGGCGTAAAACCATACTCACTCACTCGTCTTAATACAACCTCTTCAAATCTGGACTGACAGCCCAAGTAGGTGTAACCAGTATTTGGTTTTATTTCATGTAATTTATTGATACCTACTTGGGTGTCCCACTTCTTTTGCATCAGATCACGGATGTAAGATCTAATTATAGGTTTATAATCACTGTATGGTAAAAGAAGTGGATTTTGATTAGAGTGAGTGAGTGAGTGAAAATTATCGTCACATCGGCAGTATTTCAGCCATATCGCGACGAAACAGTTATAATAATTACATTTTGATTTAATAAAAAGCTGTCAACGATGGACAGTAAGATAACTAGAATATCACAGGTTCAGTAGTAAAACTAGTTGAGAACAGTTAAAACAATACATTTATAATCAACAAGACAATATCAAATTGGGCTATAGATCACCAGCAACCAAAGTTAGGCCACCTTACAAGGGACCGAGGGGACTTACATTACTTTTGCTACCTGCACGGCTCCCCAGTAGGATTTACACCAACCCTTCAGCTGCTGGTAATGGTATGCAATTTTAGCCAACCATTAAAAGAAACAAATATACTACGTTGTAAAACCGAGGTAAGAATAAATGTACTTTGATGTGGTCTTACATATCCTCTCAGGGGGACAATAATTTTACGCTACTTCAACCCCCTTTGAGGATATAGCCACTGACCATCTAAGTTACAAATTATACATTACCAATATAAAATAGAGCTATGTACACAATTCAAAATTTATCAAAAAGTTCAATTTGTTTTAAAAAACCTATGATTAAATGAGAATTGATTCTATTAAAAAGATCCTTAATTGATGATGTAAAATATTTATCCCTTGTGATGGAAAAATCAACACAGTCAAGCAGGACATGCTTGACGGTGATTCTTTCATCACAAGGGATACAAAACGGAGGATCCTCACCTTTCAATAAATAATCGTTTGTATACCTGCTATGGCCAATACGACATCGTCGTATTATGACCTCCTCAAATCTGGACTGACAGCCCAAGTAGGTGTAACCAGTATTTGGTTTTATTTCATGTAATTTATTGATACCTACTTGGGTGTCCCACTTCTTTTGCATCAGATCACGGATGTAAGATCTAATTATAGGTTTATAATCACTGTATGGTAAAAGAAGTGGATTTTGATTAGAACAGACATAGACGGATTATTAAGAAAGACGACAAACGAAACAGGAATACCACAAAGTAATTACAATTACGTCATCAGTGTAAGGAAGACACATAGGGTTAAAATGAAAAGTCAATACCTGGTATGTCCGCCATTGACAGCAACACAGGCCATGCAACGTCTTCTCATTTGATCGAATAAGTCTGCGATTAGTGTTCTGGGGCATTCCACTCTTGACGTAGTGTATCTTCAAGTTCTCTCAGGTTCTGTACTTGCGGACGACGTGAGAGGCGTTGACCCAGGTAATCCCATAGATCTTCAATTGGCGATAGATCGGGTGACAGGGCTGTCCATGGAAGCAGAGGCACATTATTGTTCGCTAGGTACTGTGTTGAAACACGTGCTGTGTGCGCTCTTGCATTATCTTGCTGGAAGGTGTGCATATCCTGGTGCTGATGAAAGAATGGGATGACGTGATTTGCCAATATGTTATTCCTGTAGTAAAGAGCATTAACAATTCCACGACAAACATGTAGCTCTGTTCGATGGTTATGACTGAAGCCGCCCCCCACCATGACACTCCCTCCGTTGACCCGGACGTGGTCGATCTCTGGTGGTTCTTGTCTGCTGGTATCTGCTCAGTAGCCTGAGGACTGTTGAATGATGGCATTGAAACCGTTGTGCAACGACTACTTGACGTACCAACTTGAAGCATGTCAAAGGCACGTTCACGTTCCTCTGCTGTTAATCTTGGCATTTCTTGTGTCAGTACCCTTTACGTCTGCAGCAACAAGTGATGTGGCTTTTAAAAGTCTGTCTTTTATAGCCCTATTCTGCATGCTTCCCGTGAAACAAAACACGTTTTCCATGATGTGCTCGCAATCTGTTGCGTTTTGGCGATTTCGATTACAAAAAAATTAGGAATGTGTTTTGACGAGCTGTTCTTCTTCATGCTTCGTCCAGAACGTCGTATATTACTCATTCACTTATATATTTTCATATGACTTAAGCCCGGATAAAAATACATTCTCCTACAAGTTTAGCTTTATCTACAGGGGGAGAAGTCTCTACATATACTACCCTCTTATGTCCACTGTCTATAGTTACACATGTCACAAGTTTCGCGAATAACGAATAAAGAAGGATCGTTATAACGGTAACTGATAAGATCCCCCTTTGGAGATACTTCAGATAATATATTGTGCAGTAATGTGCACTGGATCTTGGTATATTCTTCTATTGTTTCCTTATACATATGTACTGGTTTTGTCGTGTCCACCTGTGTCACAATTGTACCGCCGATTTAATTACCTGTTTAAATTGTGTCTGTGCATATTTTGCTTTGTTTACCATAGGTACATATCGCATAACGTCTTTTTTCAGTAGGTTGTATTGTTAAGGCAAATCCGTTTTTCTGCAGGTGAAACGTCACAGTCCGATACTTTCTGTACTGCCGTTTCTACTGCCACATGATATACATCTAACTGTGCAAACCTCGGTGACAAATAAACAAATGATAACGGTATAGCGTCGTGTTGTTACTCAACATATGACAGCATATACGATGTACATGGGGGGCTAAGAGGCGCAATCACTTCAAACAGTGTGTATAATCTGTACACGGATCAGTTATGACCTCCTGACTGCTGCCAACAACTGCATACAAATTAAAGCTATTTGTGTTAAACGGACTAGGCATGTAATTCGATGCCTGGTTTAAGATAAATGTCAATTGCCTGACCTACGTTTCGTATTCGGAGAGAGGGCATTATACTGTCTCTACAATTTTTCAATGAAATGAGAGCAGACTTTAATTTGATAGAAGATGTGATGAATATTGTGGATAAGATAGAATATATTCGGCATTCGGCTTGATTAATCATATTTGA